ACAAAAAAATTCACATATCCTAACATGCACATTTGACATCTCAGTTTATGTGCAGAGTGACCAAAAAGACAGGGTTCTGGTATGTTTTTATTTTCTTTTGCTTTTGGACAGAATCAGTCCAGATGTTAAACTGCTCATAAATCAACCTTAGAGTTAGAGTGAGAACCTTGGACATCCAGGATGAGCTCAAATGTCAAAGTCAGTTGAATTAGTTCAGGCATGTGATAAGAATGTCTCACTTTGGAGGTGTTTCAGCCATTGACTGTATATACTATGGACAACTTTGTTCCGCCTACCGCCTGTATACGGATTTGAAGCCAAATAGCTCTCGGTATTTCCGGGATTTTTCTTCATTTCCTGAAATCAGCGCTGCACAGTAGCGATGCGTGCATTCAGCCGCGCAGTTGCCGAGAGTCGCTGTGATGATGCTCAGCTCAAACAGCGTATTCCCCAGGAGAGTTACACAATCCCTGAACACCCATAGGCTTTATCAGGTGTCAATCAAAGAAAACATAATAACTTTTTAAAAACGGAGCTTCACAGAAAAAAGAGAACTTGAGCACAAACCAGTCTTACAATAACTACATGTCAACATCGCAACCAGGGGGGAGAAAAATTTATGTTCAGTGGCTTCACCCAGCGAGGAGGCAGACTCTGTCTATTCTATATACGGTCTATGGTTCCAGCGCGTCCAACTGGGAGGAGACCTGAAGATAGGTCCGGAGCTCACTAGAGGGATAACATTTCCCACCTGGCCTGGAGGTGCCTAGGGATCATGGAGAAAGAACTAGAAAATGCTGATGGGTAGAGGAAGGTCAGGGCTGACATGCTTGGATGTGACCTGATCCTTGATGAGAGGAGGAACATGGATGAAGACCACAGTGTCATCTTTGTTTTACCTTTGCTCTTATTCTGCTGTTGTGTTTTATTCTATCGGCCTTCCTGGCATGCATTTATGCAATTTTACCTTCAGGTCAAACCTGATATAGATCATTGGCAGAACACTGAGGTGAGTTTCAGACGAGCTAAGGGGTATACATAGAAGAGAAAATCAATCCCAAACCATATTGTCGAATTTTGTTACTACAACCATAAGAAGTGTGATTTAATTCGATATTAGTCAGACACACTTAACCCTTAGAACTCCCAGCTATATCTGGCTATTTTTGGTCCACTTGTTTTTTTTTTTTTTTTTTTGTAAAAATCTATGTAGCATCTCTATCCTTTCAAGCGCAGCTAATATAAACAAATCATTTTTCTCAGCTGTCAGTTTATGGGTGCAAAAATTATGTAAAATAAATGTGACAGTAGATTCAGAACCATCAAAGTCAACCAAAAAACAAAAACAAAAATTGATACCAACAGTACTTTGCTCAAAAAACACATAAATCTACAGTGACCAAGCCTTTTCTCACTTGCACATCATTCTGTTAAGTCTTGTCTATCAGAAGAAGGAATATTGGGTTTGAAACAAACACACATCAGAAACTATTTAAATATTTACTTTAATTCTTCCAGGCAGTTTTCACTATATACAGTTGTTTATGCCACTCCTTGAAGCAGTTCCTGTCTGAGATGAGACAGAGGGCCACATCATACTGCTCATAATCTCTTCTTTGCTTATTTTGCAGACAAGCTGGGAACTTTCTTGCTGATCTTAAACATACTGCTCCCAAAAGAGTAAACATGATTAATAGCACCGTAATCCTCATGTTTTACAAACCAAAGAGAAACAGAAATCGTTGTTGACATCCAGAGTACAGACCTGTGTGTGTTGCTGAGTTCAGTCCTCTAAACCAAAGTACCCACAGAGCCTGCCAAGAGCTTTCACCCATATCATTAAGGCGGCACCGGGAGGAAGAGGATTCTCCAGAGATCACAAACCCTCTCTGAAGCTGCTGGGAGGGTCGGCCATCCAACTCCACTAACAGGCTGCCACAGAGGACCTTTCTGGGTTTTTAATAGAGGGCCCCCTTTACTCTGCATTGACACACTCACACACACACGGACACACAAGCACACCTCTATGATGAAAGCTTTTTTGCAGAATGTTTCATCTCAGTGTAGCTTCGGTGAGATAGGAAGAAGAGAAGTACAAGTTTGAAGATATCTACGTGTGAGGTCTGTGTGAAGTCTCTACTTAAAGTGAAGTGTTTGTGCTGTGTTCCTGTGTGTGTGTGTTCCTGTGTGTGTGTGTGTGTGTGTGTGTGTGTGTGTGTGTGTGTGTGTGTGTGTGTGTGTGTGTGTGTGTGTGTGTGTTTCTGAATGTGCCTGTCTCCCTGGCAGCCCACAGCAAGCTCCTCACCAGAGTATGAGTTTCACACGCATTTCATTTCCTGCAGTCAGCATCAATTCAAACCCCTCAGAGGAATTAACTCTATCTACCTGCTTGTCGTTTCCCCCGTCGCTCCAGGTGCCCCCCTCACACACGCACACATACACCTGCACACACTTACACTCCTTCTCCTTTGAAGGTTTGCAGCCCCCTTCTTTAGTCTGCAGGGGAGATAAGAGCGTACTCTGGAGAAAGAGAAGTCACAGTGATGGATGATGTGTGCAGCTGCCACACAATGCTGTACCAATAATGTGTTATTGATTAATGTCTGTCACAGGCCCTCCACCGCAGAAGAACACACACATGTTCCTGTCCAGCACTGCGTGTGTACTCTATCATTAGTAACTGACACTAATTTAGCCACCAACCTCAGCAGGAAGTTAAAAATAACCTTACCTATGGAGAGTTTGGAGAATGGTGTTAGAGTTTGACTTGAAGCCGCTGACAATACAGCCGGAAACTCACGCTGTATGTCATATGCCAATTGTCTCTTTTGTGTTTTTAAATGTTCATTCAGTACAACTTTAAAACATGGTTGGTCTCCGTTCAACAATTTTAACAAGCACTTGCACAACTGTCACAATATCTTGCCTACAAAATAAAGTTACTTTGGAACAACTAAAGGAATAATCCACTGATTTACTGAGGTCAATTCTACAGCCCATGAAAGTGTTGAAACCATGCAATTGAACATTTTTACTCTTGGTTCTTTAAACTGTTTTCATTCAATTCTGTAAGTGTAATCTACTACAACCTAAAAGCAAGACAGAAGAACTTCAATAATAAAGCAAGACAATGGTTTCATGAGGCTCATGAGTCTTTTCCAAAAAAGCTTCAGTCACAGAGCTGATGATAATCATAAACTTGAATAGTATTACACCTGCATTTACTTTTGCATTTACCGTCCTTTTTTTTAGACTATTTAATCCAGGATATAAAGTTGTGTGGGAGACATGCAGCAAAGTTCAAAGGAGTAGAACCAGTAACCCTTTGTTGCAAAATAAATCCGCGTCTTTAGCCAGTCTTCCACCAAACTGCCAAATCTTATTTGTCTGTTCATCTTGATAGCTGAAGGTCTTGTGGTTTGTGTCAGTTTTGGTGCCCCCTGTGGAAAAAGCAGTCTGTGTATTTTGTTTGCTATATGCTTAGGTAGTGTTTCATCCTGTTGACTGTTGACAGTCACAGGCATCATATTTTTGTGAATATGTCATGTTAAAACCTAGAAACAGTTAATTTCCTTCCTTTTCCTCTTATTTTCCTTTGAGAATAAATAAGGTTCTTCTTATTTTTATTCTGATTTTCTACCTCTTTGCTCCAGTGTCAGACATCATGAATTAGTTTATAAGTTGTCAGTCTAGTGGTTTCTGTTTTTATACATCACAAAAATGTACCAACATAATTTATAGTCTATTTCATCAATGTAAAAAAAAAAAAAAAAAAAAAACCTCCAGTTAAGCCAAATTGATGAAATACCTGTCTCTTTCAGGAAGCACAGCTAACTTTTTAAAATAACTCTTGAAGGTCTGAAGCCTGGGGGAAATATTGGACAGCCAAGTCTGATTTAAAATTCTGTGTAGAAAATAGAACCGACTGCTGTTACCATCCAATCCCTCCACACTCCTGTAAACACCTTAACAAATTCAAAGATGTAGGGACCCCCGGAAGTCCTGGGCCCCGCTCTGGGAGCTTCTGATACAGGCAGCAGCATCATCTCCGCCTCAAAAACACGCACACCCATACACACACTTTGTGTTGCCCTGCTTGTGCCACAAACACAACACCACAACTCCATTTGATTCCTCCCTTCAGGAGAGAGGATAAATCAGCAGGTTTGAACCTGGCAGGAGTAGGTCCGAGAGTTTTCCCACTCGTCCTGTTCTACTTCAGCTCACAGTCTGTGTCTGTGTTCATAATGGAAACTGAAGATAGATTGTGTTCTTTCTCTCTGCATGCTCAAACATCCCGATGCTGATTCTGGGAAATGAAATGCTGCCACTGAAGCAGCAAATTTGATGAAAAATGGAATTTCATCCAAAACAAGCTAATGCATGTTCAGGATAGACCTTTGACTTGCTCTTTTCTGCTTTTCCTATTAAAATCTGTAAATTTAAATTTTGAGTTATTTGAATCAGTTCCAGGAAGAACTTTGAAATGAAAAATAAATATTGAATAACTAACCTTACCTTGTGACATCGGTTCCAGTAATAACCTCTTAGCTTTTGAGAGTGCCATACCATCATGACTTTCTTAGTTTCTTTGACTCTTAGTATCTTTGTTTTATTTTGTTAATGTCAAAAAAGTAAATGAAGATTGGTGATTAATTATGGTATTTTCTTAGCAGAACAGCACAATATTTCTGTTTTCTATGGCCAGGACTCTCAGTTTTAAAACTGTTAACAAATAGAAAAAAAATAAAAAATATGTTATACTTAGACTATTTTATGGTTATATTAATTCCACAATGCTTTTAAAGGTCAGGTAATTATTAGACATGTTCATGTCATATGTTCCTAAACACTATCATCACCTCTATAAGAAACATCTGAGACTCTCATAACCAGTACATTAATTTTGCAGCAAAAGTACTCGAAAGTATAGTTAGATTAATCTGCATCTATAAATCTTGATTTATCAGCACCATCCAGCGTGCTGATTAGGTGCAGCTCACTGACTAAAGCAGCAGTGTAGTGCAGCCCTGGTCAGCTGGGCTGATCCCCAATCTCAACAGGAATTTGTGGATATTATCCCCTACTCTCTACTCACAATTTCCCATCAAACTCAGAAAACTTTAAAAAAATAAATAAATAAAGGCTATACAAGCCAAAAAAAAGAAACCTTTAACAAAAGAAATGTAAAAAGGCCAGTAAAAAAAACAAAAAGGAACCACAGGGGAACCAAATACTAGATGTCCCCCTACCACAAGGATGTGCAATAAGTATGACAGATGAGCCCTGCCACACAGACCAGTACAGTGCTGAACAACTCTTCGCATGCTTCAAGTCACCTGCTGCCAATTTAAAATAGCTTTAATGAAGAGACATGTGAGCCCCTCACAACTGTAAGCCTTTCTTTGTTCTAAAGTTAGCAGTATTTCAAGAATGAGCTACATCTGTATCTGTATATCAGATGATGGACCAGTGCTGGCTGACCCCCCGCTCTCTGGCTCAGTTTGGTTCCCTCATGTGCATCGAGATATTTACTATCATCCCTTAAAAAAGAAACTGCAATAATTTTAGACACAAGACATTTTACTAGTCTTAGAGGATACATAAACACTGACTTAAAAAATGTTATCTTTATCAACAATGTAAAGCAAGTTTGTACATCCCTAATTTATCCTTAATATTAACATTTATGGCAATGAGTGATGCCCTTAATCAAACCCTCTCGTCGTATTAGCAATAATATCCATATGTTAAAGATATAACCTCTAAAAATAGAACAGTACAGTGTGGCAACTCCCTGGAGTCCACTGGCTTCACAAGACCAGCAGCTTTCATGAGTTTCTGCAAGATCTAAGGGCATTTCTTTATAATAGGGTAGATGAGTGTATTTTCAGAGACTGACTGAATGCAGTTCCTCAGAAACAAAGTGATTATTTAAGACTGAGGTTTTGAAAAAATACAAATTTTCTTGTGAACTAATTATACTGCCATTTTTTTTTTTGGTCTGTTGACCAATTAGAGGCTGCATTTGCAATCAGCTGACCTGTAGAAGTCCAGTCAGAGGTGAGAACAACCTCAGAGTTTGCTGTTATGATTGAAATACACCAAATAGAACCGTTCTGAATGGATTCATTCAAATCTGCTCCTTCTAGTATCAGTAAATATGTCGTATTCCTTAAAAATGTGTCTTATAACCAGGTCAGTACAGTCCACCAGGCAGATGTTGTAATGTTGGGCAAAGAAATCAGGCTGCTGAAAGGATGAAATATGTCTGAACACAAGAGGGTCTGAAATTCTTTTTATAGCAATCCTTTACAACATTTTCGTTGAGCCATTTGACAGACTGTCCTAAAAGAACCGAATTTACCAAAGAGTGAAATGTATGTAAGTAAAACTGATCAATGGAAGGAGTGATATCATCGCTCTTCCTGCCCAAATGTCTTTGTTAATGAGGAAAAGTGACAGTCCTATCTGAGTCTGTTGCTTCTTTTTTGTCCTCACTTCATTCTTAAACGGTCAGGGCTGTCAGAGTTATGATGCAATTAATTTGACTGCGCCACACTCTCGTGAAAATGCCTGAAAATAAACAGCTTTCTTTCCTCAGGGATATTGAAAAGCAAGACATCAAAGGAGCGTGACGCACCGAAGGTGAGCGCAATCCTCGCGTTAAATAATACAGCCATAAAGATCAAAATTTAATGCATCTCCCACTCATCACGACTCATTTGTGATTTAAAGCACTTCTCCAGGAATAAAAACAGCATAATTTCAGAGCCCAGATCATGCCCAGATTGCCTGAAAGAAGAGAGGGAGTTCGTTTGAACAGTTTTTTGAGGCAGAACAAAGGTAAGATATTCTGAGTCTAATTTAATGTCTCTTTGAAATAAATTAAACTCATCAAATATATGGGGCTTATTGATGCAGAACTTTTTGCCCTCTAAATCAGCGCTTTTTTGATCTCACATAAAGGCGTTATCTCTCCCATACTGGCTGTGCTCACTTCTCACAGCCAATTTAACAAGTATATCAAACACATGAAACTCATCATCTCAGCACTTTCAGCCATGTTAAAGCTGTAATCCAATTAGCAGAGTCATGTTTATAGATAATGGGCACCCACTGGAGACTTCACACCATGTTAGCCTGCAAACACACACACAACATGAAAGAAGTGTAAAGATAATATCCATAATCTCAGATGCCCCATTAGTATGTCTCCGTAATTTTAATATAGTGTTCTCGACTGAACACTGGGGTAAAGCTCTTTCTGTAGAGGAGTTTAAAAGGCAGTAAGGTTGACAGTATATAATGAGTATGGTCCTGCTAAGAGGACAACCAACCAACCGGTAAAGGTTGCTGTGCTGGCCAACCAAATACAGGTGCATCTCAGAAAAACCAAAAGACCTGAAAAAGTTCATTTTTCTTTTCATACAGAAACTAAACTTTTCAGAAAGTTATGTTCATGTATGCTGTCAGTACCCGGTTGCGGCTCCTTTGGCATTAATTACTGCATCAATGCGATGTAGCATGAGGGCGATCAGTCCGTGTCTCTGCTGGGGTGTTATTGAAGCCCTGGTTGCTTTGATAACTCCCTCAGCTCATTTGCATTGTTGGCTCTGGTGTCTCTCATCTTTCTCTTGACAATACTCCGGAGATCCTTTTACAGGGTTCATGTTAGGCCAACTGAACGGCTAATCAATCAGTTTCTAAGAGTTATGGCACTGCGGGCAGGTGCCAAGTCCTGCTACAAAAGGAAATCTTGACCTCTATACAGCTTCTTAGCAGATGGAGGTATGTGTCCTCTCAAAGCTAGGATAAACTGAGGTTTTGACACAGTGGTATCAATGAGACATCCATTTTTTTCAGGGGTGCAACGATAAATGGACGTTGTCGACAAAAATCAATCAAGTCAACAATGAATTCCATTGTCGACTATTGTCGGCAGACATGTTTTTTTCCAGTGGAGTGAGGCATCTTACTTAATGATCTCTGCCTAGAGTCACATGTGCGCAATAGCATCTCTGCCGAGCGTTAGGGTATTTAAACACGGCGGTGCCAGCGTCCCATACAGCAGCTACGAGTGGGAGTATGTGCTTAAAAATCTCCAAAGTCTGTAAGCACTTTAGTCTAGAAAAGGCAAGGAAAAAAAAACACTGCAAGGTTTGCAAAGCAGACCTTGCGTATCATGGCATCATGACAGTGATGCACGAACATTTGAGGAGAAGGCACGGAGTGTGGATGAAGGTTAGCCTCACCTTGGTACTGTTTTACTGCTGCTAATTTGCATAACCTTGGTTTTCTAGAAAAAAAAAAGTTTGTAAATGACCACAGACAAGTGCGCACACCATCTTTGGACCTTGAGTGTGATGCGATCGGGAGGGGGAGGCGGTCGCGCTGGGGGCGGCGCGACGCGGCTCGGGCCCGACAGTGCCCCACCGGGGCCCTAGTTAAGTTTATTATTTATTTTAAATAACAAATTTGCCTGTCTTGAAAAAATGGACAGAGGTTTATTTATTTATGGTTTTTTGTCTTTACTGACTGAGCACAGTGCCTGTCAATTGGTTTTGGATAGGACTTTTTTAATTTACTTTTTGTATGAACCAGCCTATAAGCAGCAAAGTTAAATACAAATGCATTTGTCATTCAAGTACCCATAATTTTTGTGTTTCTTATTATTGCCACTTAATTAAAGCAACCTCACATTGAATTTAAGAAGAAAATCATAATTACCCGATTAGTCGACTAATCGTTTCAATAGTCAGTGAATAGTCGACCGATTAAAACAGTTGTTAGTTGCAGCCCTCGTTTTTTTTTAATCATCAGTGATGTTTTTGAGCTTGTCATTTTCTCATCTTTGTCATGAAAAAAGGTCAGTGTTGAATATTTGCTGTTGTAATTTTCATCAGTGACATTAACATTACAAAGAAAATAAAGTAAGGAAAATGGTAAACTAAGAAAAATGGCTGGTAGGTGATTTCAACATCCCCTGAACCTCATTGCTGTGTGACTAACAAAGACAGCATCAGCACCCCTCATCCTGTTTGATCTATTGGTGAACTATTTTGTTTGCTGCCTAAAGCTTTGGTCACCACCCCCACCCTCCCTACCAAGGCTTTACACAGATTTCAGGAATCACAAAGGTGCCCATTCTGCTGTTATTGCTGTTTCCTGGTACCACTTGTGTTTCATTATAACTAAACTGGAGGAGGCCATACAAAATTTCATTACCTCAGCATAATGACAACAAAGATTACTCACTCCTCAAACGTCTGTGTGCCAAAGGACGCAAACTGCAGGTACCTTTGGGACAAAGTAAGGGACAGAAGAGGAATGGAAATATGCCAGAGATGAAAACAATGAAGCTCTGAGAGCAGCTCATATATCACTGTTAGGTTTAATATCATAAAAGAATGCGGAGTAAATTAAATGTTTTCAGTGCTTTCAATTTTCTGATATTCCTTGACGCAGTTTCAAATTTTCTCATCACAATCCTCTGTGGTTTTGGTAATGACGTTCATGATTTCAAAGGAAACTCTTTCTCTTTTCCCAAAAGATTGGTACCGACATATGTCTAAAACACATTTTAAATTTCCATTTCCTTTATGTCATCCAGAGGGATCCATGCATTTCAGATGTATTCAGAGATACTGGGCTGTTTGATAACGGGCACTGAAGAGCTGCGTGAGACAAACGAAATGAAAACAGTGAAAGGCATTTTATTTTTATTCGCAGTAGACCGAAGGATACACAACACATCGAGACACCTGCTGAGTCGGTGCTGGAAGGTGGGGGGTCATAAATTATGGAATGAGACCTTGAAACACAGTGTGACACATTTGAAAACACTACATCTGACGGCAGGGTACAAGGTAGGGGACGTGCATACTGATGCCACAAACACTGTGGTGGTGACATGTACTACAGAAGACACCTTTAGCTCAGAAGACATCCCATCACCTTAGAATACAAAAGTACAACATCTCGGTTATTTCCTCCCAAAGATTTAGTTACTTTCTTGGAAATATTATGTGCTTTAGTTAAGATTTATGTCACAGCAACTTTTTTCAAGCCAATCAAATGCAGCAATGTTCATAGCTTTGTGATGCAATGAGCCCCCAGACACATTGGTAGTTGGTAGCGATTTGAGGGTTCCTTGAAAACTTAATGTTCCCTCAAAAAGTCTTTTGTTTCCAGAAAACTGTAGTATCCATTTATTAGATATAATCAAGTGTGTCCAAAATATACCAGGCCACCTGATTATACTGTATACAAACCCCTTCTGAAGGAAAACTCTGGCATAATTGTGTCAGTTTTGTAACAAATAAAAGTGCATTTCCATAGTAACCCTTTGTTTTCATCATAGGTTAAAAAAATGGGCTTTGTTGTCTCTATGGTGGTCATTCATTTCTTGAGTGGCAAGTCCCACCCCAGCTAGTTTATAACCAACTGGCTGGAGCCACAACACCAATCCAGACTTAGATGCTTAATCAGTACTGCCCAGTAGGGCTGAAATTGACCAACGAAATTCTTGGTCAACTAAAACCCAAAAATTTTCGACCAAAAATCGACAAATCAGGGAGAGGGATTTTTCCGACTCTGATGGCAACCCCTTCTGTGGTGGGGGATGACACGGCTCGACGGAGCGCAACTTGGCAGAACACGGTTCTGTCAGGTGAAAATTTACCGATTTTTGCTCAAGAAGGCAATTAAACACTAACATTTAACACTTCAATCTTTCTGTCTCTAGCCGGTCTCCAGTGGGTTGGGCGAATCCAAAATGGTGAAAACAAGGGGGTAGTTCTGAGACAGGCTGTTACCTGTGAAACGGGGGTTCTCTGAAAACACCCCCATTAGCACTTAGGTACGTTCCTCCGGATGAAATTAACCATAGACTATAAATTGATGTGCAAAGAACTCAAGACGACCAATCAGAATTTTGGCACATATCGACCAATAAGTTGACCAGTCGACCAGCACATAGAGCCCTAGTGCCCGTAGCAGCTAAACCAACTCTTAACAAACTCTCTGAGTCTGGGAGAGGTAAATTGTGTTTTTGCACTCACTTGCTACTTATTGTGCTCTCTCTTTGGGAACAGCTCTCACAAAAAACTCAATGGACCTCCTCTATAGGATTAGATTATGTAGGAGGGCTGACAGTGACTAATGCTTGTGAGCTATGGCTTCTGTGCCTAGATTAATCCATGATCTGTGCACATTTACCAACCTAAGACAAATGACTAACAGGGATGATACAGATTCATAACTTCATTTATAACCTGAAAGTTGATGGGCTTTTGAAAATCTGTGCAATAAACTTTCACAGATTTTGCCATCAGTTTGCAAGACTACTCAGTTTAGCCATAGCCCAATGTTTACAAACCCTGCTTGTTTTGATCTGCTTTCTGAAAGGAAGGTTTGTCTCTGAAGTACTGTGTATGGAATTGACTGACTGGTGTCTGAGAGAAAACATGAATGTGATGAAATTGTTCCTTTTTTTTACCTCACCAGATTCAAGATTGATAAGAGGACTGCTCTGTGCCTAAAGTAGTAAACAACTGAGATGATGACATTATTGTACTACCATCTTAATACATTAAAGCTGCATTGAAAGTACACAGACAGGCAGAAAGTTTTCAAGAATATAATACTGTAGTATGCTATATGGACTGTCGATAACATATCCATAATCCTGCTGAAGTCACCCTTTGGCTCGATGTGATATTTTAAAAGCTGACTCAGCTGGATCCTTCAACTTTATTTTGGAGGTAGACCAGTTACCAGCTTTGGTGGACTACCAGGGCTGATTCCGGGCTTTTCACCTGTTATCTGTGACCACCTTTTGTTTTACAGATTAATCAATGAGAAAGAGAGATGTTTTGGCTGTGTCGATGGGGCATCTTTCCCTCTGGGTCTGTTTTCTTGGCTAAATTTTACATGATTGAATGATGTAACTGTACTGTAACTGGCTTACTGCAAAGTTTTGTGTTGGAATTTTTTGATTTTACAAATTCTGAATTTGGCCAGAAAGACTTTCAGTTTAACTGTCAATGCATTGCCGCTCCAACTATTGGTGATAAGCCTTACTAATGATAGATTTTGGTATCTGTAAAGGCCTTGAAGCCAATAATGGACAACCTCCAGTCTTTACACTAGCGAAGACTTTGAAGTCTAGCTGCCTTCATACAGCTTCAGCAGGCCCACCAATCAGCCACACCTACATCTATCCTCTTTCAGGATTTAGATTTGCCCTGCATGGACATGGACAACATTTAAGGTTATGGATGCATTTCCAGCATGAGGCAAGCTTAGGCTTTACATTTAGACATGCATTTCAGATAGCAATATACAGATTGAAGATACATCATGAGATGCAGCTGGGACACATCATCAGTGATGTTCCTGAGTTCATCGGACGTTTCGGGTCTTTCAACATCATACGTCCTCCCTCAGGTGACCCAGCCTAGGGTTGATCAGACCCTGGCTTGTGTCCCAGTAGCAATGGCCCACAGTTCGCTCCTCCTGATCCACAGCCACCTGGAGGCTCTCTCTGCCGCCTCCATGGTGGACTTGATGGCTGACCTTTTTGCAGCCCCGGTGATGCCAAGTAGCGAATAAACCTTGCACAATGAGCGGCCAGCAAAGCCCCTGCACCCCACTTCAATGGGTTCACACCGTGCCTTCCACCCTCCTCTTTGGCATTGCTCGACCAGCTCCTGGTACTTTGACCGCTTCCGCTCGTTTGCCTCCTCTATGCGATCCTCCCAGGGAACTGTCAGCTCTAACAGGAGCACCTGCTTTGAAGAGACTGATGATAGCACGATGTCTGGCCTCAGGGAAGTTGTTGTGATCTGGTCTGGAAACTTGAGCTGCTTGCCAAGGTCAACTCTGAGATCCCAGTCCACCGCTGAGGTGAGGAGGCCAGCTGCTGGTTTGGGCTGTGACTGTGGCTGCTCTCCAGCCCTGACAAAGGCGATGTTCCTGTTGCCAGGTTGTTGCTTGCGGCTGTTGTTTTTGGCCACAGCTTTGGAGATAGTTACAGCAACAGACTTCAGCACCTGGTCGTGCCGCCAGCGGTAACGACCCTCCCCAAGGGCTATCGAACAGCTGCTTAGGATGTGCTCCAGAGAGCCTTTCCTGGAGCACAGGGCACAGGCTGGAGAGTCGCCCAGACCCCAGAGATGGAGATTGGCTGGGCTGGGCAGGACATCGTAGACAGCACGAACCATGAACCCTATGCGCTGCGGTTCTGCCTGCCAGATCTCAGACCAGGTCACCTTCCTCTCCAGCGCACCCTCCCACCTTGTCCATGCTCCCTGCTGCTGCATGCCCACCATCCTGCTGGTCCGTTCCTCCTCGACCCCTATCCGCACCTCCCTCAGGACTAGCTGTCGTTTGTCCTTGCCATGTGCCTTCTCGTAGCGCGGTTGAGGGAACACTCCCAGCCCAGCTCGACCCGTTGCCACCGAGCCTACCAGAGCCCTGTGTCTCAGCCGAGACTCGGCTACCTCCAGACCATCTTGAGCCCTCCACTTCCTGCCAGTTCGCACCACGATGCCCGCTGATGCTACCTTGGAGTCCTTGGAGTCCCGATAGAGCAAAGCCTCTCTTGTGCGAGAGACCCTGAACTCCTCCTCTAGGCTACTGAAAGGGAGCTGGAGTTTGTTGGTCTTTCCATACAGTGCTGCACTGGATAGGCTGCGTGGGAAGCCCATCCATCTACGGAGGTATCCGCTGATCTTCCTCTCCAGAGTCTCTACAGTCGACAGGGGCACCTCGTACACCAACAGAGGCCAGAGTACTCGGGGTAAGATGCCATGCTGGTAAATCCACGCCTTAAACCTGCCGGGTAAGCCAGACTTGTCTACTGCCGATAGCCATGTCTCAAGCTCCTTGATGGTGATCTGGATTGATGCAGAATCCCTGAGACTACAGTCAAAAATCTTGCCCAGGCTCTTGACTGGTTTCTCGGTGATAGATGGGATTGCCGTGCCATCCACGAGGAAGCGAAACTTGTCTGCCACTTTTCCCTTCTTCAACACCATCGACCTGGATTTAGTTGGTTTGAAGCTCATTCTTGCCCAGGATATGAGCTTTTCCAGGCCCTGGAGTATCCATCTTCCACCAGGCACAGATGTTGTGGTGACGGTGAGATCGTCCATAAAGGCTCTGATGGGTGGTTGTCGAATGCCAGACTTGGACAGAGGATCTCTGCACTCCCTTTCAGCTGCCTTGACTACCATATTCATGGCCAGGGCAAAGAGGCCAACCGAGATGGTGCACCCAGTTATAATGCCCTTTTCGAGCCTGTGCCAGTCAGATGTTGTGCTCCCAGAAGTGACTCTGAGCCTGAAGTTCCCGTAGTAATTCAGGATGAGGTCCTTGATCTTCCTGGGTACATGGTGACGGTCTAGGGTAGTCTCAACGAGCTTGTGGGGTATGGAGCCGAAGGCATTGGCCAGGTCCAGCCAGAGCACGACGAGGTCTCCCTTGCCCTCCCGTGCCTCCCTGATCAGCTGGGTGACAACTCCAGTGTGTTCTAGGCATCCTGGCACACCGGGGATACCA